CTCGCGGCCGGTCAACTTCTCGTCTCTCTCTCCCCTCTCCTCCTAGCTATACTGCTTGTTCCAATATACGTATCGAGAAAGATAGAAATCGATATACATTATGTTGCGAATCGTGTTGCGCGACAACAGTGGCAAAAGTATGGAAATTTATGGAACGACTTATCGAACACGGAACGAGGGAAGTTGCGGAAGAAATAAGGAATAAGGAAGGAGATGTACGTTTATGTTTATATGATGTGGAACGTGGGGAGAAACGAGGATACAGAAGGAAAATATTATATCCGTTTCTCGAATTAATTTTTCGACAAGATTCGACAAAACTATCGTTCATTCGTGCAGTTTTTCTAAAATTTATGTTCTGATTAAATTAAACTATATCCATTATGCATACAATGTCTCGTATAAAATAGAGTTCGTAGACTTTAATCATTTATTAGTTAATAAATTGTGATATAAAATAAATTCGTATCTATTGAATTATTAGTGCAGAAAAATAAACCAAAAACCTTATCTTCAAGCTTCCAATTTTCTATATAATTCCATGCTTATACAATATTTCGTATAAAACAGTTTGTAGACTTTGTTAATACAATTTATTAATTCGTGATATAAAATAAATTCGTAAATTCAAGCTTCCAATTTTCTATATAATTCCATTATACATACAATGTTTTGTATAAAACAGTTCGTAGACTTTGTTAACACAATTTATTAATTCGTGATATAAAATAAATTCGTAAATTCAAGCTTCCAATTTTTTATATAATTCCATTATGCATACAATGTTTCGTATAAAACAGTTCATAGACTTTGATAACACAATTTATTAATTCGTAATATAAAATAAATTCGTAAATTCAAGCTTCCAATTTTCTATATAATTCCATGCTTATATAATGTTTCGTATAAAACAGTTCATAGACTTTGATAACACAATTTATTAGTTAATTTGTGATATAAAATAAATTCGTATCTATTGAATTATTAGTGCAGAAAAATAAACCAAAAATCTTATCTCCAAGCTTCCAATTTTCTATATAATTCCATTATGCATACAATGTTTCGTATAAACAGTTCGTAGACTTTGATAACACAATTTATTAATTTCTATATAAAAGTAATATAAATTCTATTGAATTATTAGCGCAGAAAAATAAATCAACCTATCTTCAAGCTTCCAATAATTCGATATAATTCGTATAATTATTCGATACAGCCGATTCGTAATTTTTGAATCATGAATTTTTTCGTCTGTAAGGATCGAAATTGTTCGAGAAGCCCATCACTGCACCGCTTCTGGCGGAGTACGATCGCGTATCCCGGTTGTTCCCGGAGAAGGGACGTCCGTTAAAGTTTTATTACAAGGGCCCGCAAGTGTACGTGCCCCCTGGCCCATTTTGTTGCGGAATGGAGAAAGCGAGGGAACGAGCCGACAATCGACTCGATTTCTTTCGTTTTGCACGGCCGCTCTAATCGATCGGTCGAAAGATGATGGCTCTTGAAAAGGCCACCGCTCCATGCTCTTTTGGCGAAAGTGTGAAATTGTTTTTTGGTAATCAGAGATCGACGATTTTTCTCCCCCTTCTTCCTCTTCTTCTTCTTCTTCTTCGAAACCTGTTCGAATTGGTATTCTTCCTGGTGCGATTTAATTTAAAGGTGAATGGAAGAATGATTTCCGAAAGGTGGCGAGATTTATTGTGCCGGTTCTCGAGTCGAACGTGGTGTTTTCGATTCGATGGGATTGGACGGTAATTGCATTTCATCTCTGGAAACTTTGTAGTTGGTGCTGATGTAAAGTATTTCTCAACCAGTTTTTCTCTTTTTATATCCAAATATGCGATTCTTTCTTTTATTAAAGAAAAGAAAAATCGATGTTTTTGAAAATTCATCTAATTAAAAATCCTCCAAAATTTCATTTCTTCCAAATACAATTTTGCCTGAGAATTTTTTCCACAACAAGATAACATCGAATATAGAACATTTGCAATTTTATTCTATCTCAAAGTTACAAAATTTAACAATTTTCGAGCATTAATTTCTTCCCTATCTGTCTTTCATCCACGATTTACATTTCCAAAAATGTATCACAAGATGTAAGAAACGTCAGAAAAGATGTTAAAAAAGGTTTGATAAATCTTACAGCATAAGCATCAAGGAATACTCGTGAATGGAATTCATGAAATTTATAGCGATGTTTGAAAGAAAGAATATGGTGTCCACTCACATTTTTTCAACGCTCGATAACGCGAGAATCGATTAATTTCCCGAATCGATAACAGAAAGATTTAGGATCGAACGTAATTACGCATGGCGGTCACGTTTGTTATGCTTAAAATTGAATTCTTTATAAATGTTTTCGGCTATTAATGAGGAAATTCATAATTCGAGATATTCATCTGCTCTCTTGTCGTTTAATGAAGCTCGTTAAAAAGCACTATTCACGAGATTCTCCGGTCGTGTGTAATGCAAATGGGCGCGATTTATCTCGTACGAGTATCACGAACACTCGTTTTTTAAAGTCGTTTCTTTGGTTTCCATTGTTTCAAAATTTATCCCATAAAGATAGTGTACAAATTATATTCCTTAATCCATATAATTAAATATTTCTAATATCGAAAAATTAGTATATGATTAAAATAATTCTTAATATAAAATATATTTAATTTGCATTTGTTTCTTTGTTACAGAAGAATGCTAAGACATCACAAGTATTGTTGAAGAAGGTAAGTATAAACGAATATAATATACTATATATAATAAAGCGTAAAGAAAATATTATTTTCCTTTTTTTAAATAAATAATATTAGGACAGATTGAAAAATCTGTCACAATCGTCATCTTATAAAGAAATATTAATTAAACTCTTAACGTGGACAAAATTTTTCTCGTCCGTGTTTTGTTCCTTTAACAAATTATTCAAAAGATTGGAGACTTTTTCACACACCCCGTGCGTATGAATGTAAGTACAAAACACGTGAGATACAACAGCTCACCATGCTACGGTATTAAGTGTGTCTCGAGCGACCATTAATCCACCCTATGGTAAAAACATGGGTGTCCTCAATCCCTCGATGCCCCGAGCGAACATTTCCACTTCACTAGAAAGGAGTTATAATCCCGCCTCCTTTCATAATCCCGTCGGAAGACATTTCGCAGATGTTCGTTATCACCGTGGAACAACGGTTGGCCAAAAATTGTTTCCACTTTGGCTGCATACCAACCATCTCGAGCATGTTCCCTCAAGTATCGCTCGACTATCCATATTAATACGTGTAAGTGGGCAAATTAATGCGCTTTAAGATGATTTATGCGCGACCAGCACTCTTTAACGCAGTTTCTTCTTACATGCAAACCGTTTTTCCTCGCCTCTTATCTCTCTCCTTTTCTTGTCGAGTCGTTTCGACCCCGATCACGTATTCTCGCTCTCGCATACCTGCAGCCTTTGAATAGAAAGTTTTCAAGAATGAAAGGTGAAAGGATATATTTTTTTTTTTTTTTTTTTAAAGAATTTGAAATTTGAATAAGAAGATGAAAATGGATAG